CAGCTGCATTGTGTTGGTATAACTTTAATGTGGTAATATGCTTTTGTTTGTATGATTTAGCACCCTCTTGTGGCCACTGTTGGTACTTGGGAAGTTTTTATGCCCAGCTAGTTTGCTAGAAGTGCTCAGTAGAGGTGAAACCTTTGCCCACGCATGCCTATAAGTTTCCATTACATACTATAACCTTAACTATCTGATTTGTGATGCATGTGTAATGTGCGTATACTGAGTTACTATTTCAGCTGTGTGGTCATTATTCATTTGTAAAGCTACTTGTGTGCTAGCGACTGTATATTAGCATGTGTTTGCTAACTTGCTATGATCAATAATGCTAGTTAACTGAAGGTGATGTTTATGTTTAATTTAGGCAACCTTAAGATTTATGTTTTTGCTGGTTGTCATGAAAACTAAGTTTCAATTAGTACATTATGTATGTTCAGTGAATAAGAAGGTAATTATCTGTTTTGTGTTTTTTTAGTTTTACAAAAAGAAAAGAGAAAGGAGAGAAACGAAAATGGATAAGGGATACCATGTATAAGAAGCCTTAGTAACATGGCATGTAAACTGGAGATGCAGATCGAAGTAAAGAAGAATCTCAGTTCAAAGCATTCTCTTCTTCTCATTCTGTTCACTGTCTGTCAAACTGGATAAGCTAAATCATGCCCACATCTAGTGAGGACAGAACATGCATGCTTCAGCCATACACACTGTACAAATAGGACAATCTGTTTCAGTGCAAAAGGAGACAAATCTGTGACGCTGCTGTGTTCCTGCTGCAACTGCACTTACGATGTATGATGATGATGATGCCGGAACACTTTATCTGTCATATGTTGGTGTCGTTTCACCGTTTTTGTGCCTTAGGTCTCAGTCACACACGCCTAGAGATTGATTAGGAATTCCTCGTTAGTAAGCCCTTGGCAACTTCTTGTCGCTAGACAGTGGTGAGTGGCTTCTTGGGGGTTGTTACTGGGTCAGAAAAGTAGCCTGCACCAAAAACCTCCTTGTGATTGCTTAAGTTGTTTGTAGGTTGTTGTGGTTCCCCATAGTTTGTATGGTTGACGTTGATTTCTCTGCGAACATTCACTAACTAACCATAGATGCAAACCGCAAATGGTGATTGTTCACCTTCAAAGTAAAAGCTGTGTGTTGACATCAGCATACTGACATGCATACAAACACATTTTCCCATTTGCCCGATAAGGAAAAAAAAGACATTATTTATAGCTGCACTAAGTATTTTATATTAATGACAGATTAAATGACTTTGTATAATGAGAAAAATGTTCCTCGTACTAATAAATCCATGGAACATTATCACCATGCTCTGCTGCTCCCTTCACAAGAAGTCTATGGATTCCTAAAAAATCTGAAAAGTTAAATGATTTCTGTAAAGTTCGAGCTCTTAAATAAACCAATTGCTTCCTCAAAACTATCCATCAAAAGTTAGTTAAATATACTAAAGACAAGGCAAATGAGACTGAGCTGCACTTTTCTTAGTGGATAATTTTGAGTAGCTCTGTGTTGGTTGGTTGCATCTTGTTATTGGAGGAAAAGAACATAAATATGATGACTTCACTTCACTATATTTAAACTGTGAACAAGCAGAAGAGATTAAAATAAAATTAAAATTTCATCCATGTTATTGGGTCTTTTGTACCCTTATTTTTATTTGTATATAATACCTCATAAAAGTACCAATGGATTATACAACTATCGATAAGAGACAGTGTCATTGGTTTTACTTTTAAATTGAAGTTAGACACTTTATTATCAAGCGGATCAAAAGTACTTTGCCTTCCATCCATTTTTGATTAAGTGCTTTGGTTGCTTTAGTAAAATGGCTGAATGCGAAAATATGTGTTTTCATTTGGGATCGAGCTAAAATTTGTCAAAGAATAAAGCAAAGTAGAGGAAAAAGAAAAGAACATAACAGTCATGAGGTCAAGGTACAAGCTAGAATAGCTAGAATGGGAATTCATTAATCAAGTTTAAGATTTTTTGGACAAATGTTGGGTGACAGAAACAAGCAAAAACTCAAACTGTATACAAGCCAACCCCGAGAAATAACACATAAAGGAAGGCTCCATATAAGAAAGCCCAGTAAATTTGAAAGTCAAACACTGACTGGAGTTTACTAATATGCATATCAACAATTCACAGTGTTTGTTGGTAATTACACTTGGACTGCTGTAACAAAATTACATACATTTTTTTGGTAACTCATCTCTGTTCACAAAAAATTAGACAGTTAAAGGAGGACATCTTCTCACTGTGAATGCAGGAAGCAGAGTCATCCGTACAGGCTTCATTTGCTGTCTCTTGCTCACAGTGGCTTGAATTTGTGCAGAGCGCAGTGAAATCATAAAATTATCAAAGCATACTGGAGCAAAACATACTGCCTGGGGGTCTGCAGGATCTGTCTCAGTCGCAGGTCATTGCTACAACATCCAACCATCCATCCATTTTCGACCACTTATCTGTGTATGGTTCATTGCGGCAGCAGTCTAAGCAGGGCTGCACAGGCCTCCCTCTCCCCAGTCACCTCCTCCAGCTCTATTGGGTGGGTGTGAGGGTATTGAGGCCAGCTGCCAGCTGAGAGATGTAATCTGTTTTCCTGGGCCTGCCCTGGGGTCTTCTCTCAGTTGGACATGACCATAACAGCTCAACTGGTTTTACTAAACGCGGAGGAGCAGCAACTCTACTCCAACTCAAAATGACCCTATCCCTAAGGGGTATCCCAGAATCCCATGGTACCAGCTGATTTTTGCTGCATGGGTCTTATTTGTTTTTTAAGCCATATCCCACAGATCGTGGCCATAGGTGAAGATAGCAGTATAGATGAACCAGTAAATCGCCAACTTCACCTTCAGGCTCAGGTCTCTAGTCCCCACAATAGTGTAGGGTCTGCTTCAATGCCTACACAGGACCAATCTACTTGTCAATCTCTAGCGCAGTTCTACCCCCACCTGAAAACAAGCCCTCGAGATACTCCTACACGTGAGAAATCAAGTCATCCCCAACCTGAAGCACAAAATCCATACTATTCCAGGTAAAAAACATGGCTTTTCTAAAATTATAATAAAATAATAAATATCTCATCTGTTATAATCTGTTATAATAAAGTGGCCTCCCACTAGTCCAAATCTTAACATTTATGGAGGCGACTGAGCACACAGTTTGGACAAAGTTAACCTTAACTGATGATTTGGGGTATAAGCTGCTTGCTGGGAAATCTGCTTTTCAAAATATTGAATAGTTATTGTATAACTGAAAATACTGTTACACTGAGAATCAAACAAATGTGTGGTTTTTTTTTCATTAAATAGTGAATGATGGGCTCCAGCTGCTCTTATGAGGTTTGGCTTTATTTCAAGGTCATTGTTGTCAAGCACATAACTTCCCGCATTCACCAGGGCTCTATATGCCATCGAGGCAGGTAATGGAAATATATTTTGAAAAGTCTCTTTCAGTTACATCAGAGCTCTGTCCCATTACTGTGGCTTACAGGATTCCTTACTTAGTAGCCAAGGTAACTAGCCTGCTAACTGTAAAGCTTAATAATGTTTCAAAGGCTTTTCAATGTTTCAGTGTCCCTAAAAATAGGCTCAGAATTGCACCACAGGAGACACTCACATAGTTTATTTGGAGTAAAAGAAAATTGAAAAAAAAAAATGCTTTGGCAATTCATAGAGTGCAGTGCATTCAAATATTTGCATTTATGAGTTAATACTCCACGGCATATGATTGTGTGGCCTTTTAAAGTGATTCATTCTATTACCGGTGAGTATCTCAAAAAGCTCCACTTAACCGATGCAAATAAAATTAATTTGCTAACATTTTATTTAATGACCCGGTTCACAGGGGGGAGAAAATACAGGCTGAATAATTTCAAATCACATACGTCTGTGAGACCCAGTTGTAAAGTTTGCTCTGTGTTTATTTAACCTAACGTCTTGTTTTCATGTGGAGCCCAAGGATGCCGTTTTTGAATCCAGTTACACAAAACAGTGAGAGGTGTCCTGGGACATGGAGTCACCCTGGGGAGGAAAAAAAATAAGATGAAGAATCTCATATATAAAGGCAAAGGTGTTTGTAAACTACACAAAACCCTGTGAAGTGAATTTGTCCCTCGGCATTGTGCTCAGTGTGCTTTAGTAAAAGAAAATTAGACCTCATGTCACATTTCACCTGCCTGTGCCAAGGAAATGTAGAGATATATAAGGCTGAGACACAAATATACAAAGAAAAGCTCTCTGGATCTAAGATTTTAAAGCTTGGTTAATTAAAATGAATTATTAACCTAATAATCTTTACGTTTAAAACTTCAGTTCCTTAGGATTCAAGTTGAAGCGATTCTGTTTGCATAGCATGCTGTATTGGTTCCGATCACAAAAGGCTTTACAATACCTGTGCTCTGAAAACATTATTCAGCCTCGTTGAGGACTCTCAGAGTAACACTCTGTTCTATCCCGTGTGGAGGCTTTCAGTGTTCACACTCACATCATGAGCAGCTTTGAGGATGGCCATGTATCAAGCTATCTGGGGTACAGTCTCTGTGCTCAAGGTGTCCACTGATGTGGAGCAGCAGAGTGAATGTCAGGCAGCGCTGGTCACTGTGCATGTTTGGGGGTGGCAGTGAAGAAGTGCTCTGTTTGTGTGAGTGGCTTAACTGAAGGCGGGCGCTGTCACAACCGAGGAACCTGCACGTGTGCGGCGATGGTGGCAGTAATGTGTGTAGTGGGAGTGAGAATTCAGGTTTAGACAGTGGGCAAGAATCCAGTGCATGACGGCATCATTGTGTGGACTATACAGTTCAGTGAAGGGTAGATTTGATATTTTCTCCCTCTCAGTAGGGCCTTCCTTTAAGCCAGAGCTTTGCCTAGGGAATGCTCACAAAGGAGTCTTCTGCTGCAGCTGGCAGAATCCTGCTACGTGATCTAAAACCAATTTCGCTATTTGAATAAGCTAACACTTATTTCCTTATCTTCCTCTTGCAGTCCAAAAAAATCCAGGCTCAACTGAAAGAACTGCGGTACGGGAAAAAGGATTTAATTTTTAAGGTAAGCTCAAACTGAAGGTGGGTGGCTTTATAGTAGCTCCAGACCAGGGGTAAACAGGTGCTTCATACCGCCTTCAAAGGATGATCCCATCACAGAAGGGGCTCTAATTAATTCAGGCTGCAATTATAAACTTCCATCCAGCAAAAGCAGCACAGGGCAAAGTCAATCCGGCAGCTCTTAGTGAACATACCAAGTTTCGTCCTCTGTTTCCACCTCTGCAAGATTCACCCCATCCTCTTTAATCTTCTGTGGTATGTGGATAAATGGTTTGGACAGCAGTGGATGGAGTTGATACAGAATTATGCATTAAATCATATAAGGGAACCTTCAAGACAAAATTACAGATGACACCATGTATTTCTACATTTCAGGGGTAACACCCATTTCAGGGAATCAGATATGTGCCTCTTCCTCACGTACTTCCTCTGCAAGCACAATAAAAACAGTGGCAGCGTTGCGTATTATTGCCCACCCGCACATACTCCATCGCCCTGTGAATTGCGAGGACTAAACGTTCTGGGATCTGAGCGCTCACATAATATTTATTGGCATTTACTGGTACAAGGACTGACCTTTCAGGCCTTGTTTGCGGTGTTAAAATGTCAGTTGACATTTTTGCCACAATGCCCTGTAATGCCATTTCTTATATGTATGTTTTGATGCTTTAAACGCATCACTGCTAAAGCTACGTTAGACATAAATGAATAAAAAAAGGACTCTGTCCTCGAGGATAGAATTTCATGCTTCTAGCCCTACACTTGAATATATTGTCCCTGGATGTCCTGCTCCTTGTTCTATTTCTAGTCTCTGAATGATGGATGCATCGACTTGTTTGCTTGGTGTCACTGCTCGTAAATCGTTGTCTCTAAATTGCATCAGTCAGTCATCCAAAACAAAAAAAAACTAAAACGTTATTGCTCAATGTCACCAAACATTTCAAGTGGACCTTTAAAACATTACGGTCTGTAGTGATTTGCAGCATTAGACAGATAAGGCTAATTTGATCATTCTCTTTATCTTGTAAAAACAGTCATCTTTCGAAGATGACAGAAATGGCTGCTTTTTTTCTCTGGTGGAAAGGTCAAGGAGAAATGCATCACGTCCAATCCCTCTGGCTATTCCTGAAAAACTCATCTGTATTCCCCATGTGCTGTGATCAAAAGCCCAGCAGGGGCCAAAGGAGGGGGAAGTGGAGGAGAGTCACTCAAGATACAGAAATGTCATCAGCATCACAGGGGGGATGTCAGTCAAGGCACCTTGACCAGGAGGCAATTGAATTGGTTATGACAGCTGTTGTACCCTATCAAAGTGCCTTTTGCAACACAATGTCTTGGTTTAAAAAAAAAGAAACAAAGAAAACTAATTTGCAAGATTAGATACAGCAGAAGCCCCAAAACTTACATTTATCAAAGCTTAAGAATACCTTTTTTTGTTAGTTAGTTAATTCGTTTCTTGTTTTTCATAGTAAAATACAAGAAAATGCAAATTGATTAAATGATACAGCATGTTTCCTAGAGTAACCTAGAGTACCAGGAAAAAAAGCCAGCATTTTTAGTGCAACTCTTGTCTCAGGTGTAAGCTGTACAGTTTCCCTCGCTTTTCATAAACATGTTACTAAAAAAAGTATTAAAAGAAAAGAGAGCGACTTCCCTGACTTCCCAGGAGCCATATTCAAGCTTTCACAGTGTACTCTTCATTGCGACACTAAAATTACCCCCAGAGCTGTTTCCTTTTAAGCTTAGAAAAAACAGATGTCGTCACACGCCTCATCTAGCCCAGTGGACAGCACCCCGCTGACCCCACACCTCTATAATGGACTCAGCACAGAAATATGAAGCCCTAGACTTGGGGGCACTAACCCTGAAAGTCAGCATTTCTGGGACAGTGCCGTTGCGCCAGCAGAGCTCAAAGGACTATCCACTGATGATGCTCTTTGTAATGGATGTAATGGCCTTTACTATAAAGCTGTGCACACAGGATTTAGAGCTTTTAGACAACAAACTAATATTGAGCCTCATTTAAAAAAATGTACTTGTGAGCAAAATGTGTGATTCCAGAGTGTATTAATGAATATCTTCATTTGCCACAAAGAGATTTTATGAGGCTTTTACAAAGCTTTGTGACCATGAACTGTGCCTGATTACCTTAAGACTCCAGCTGACTAAAACTCCCACTACAGGAACTTCTAAAGGTGAGATCTGACTCTCTGGCTTCAGTGAAAACCCATAGGACTGATTGTTGCTCTGTCCTTGAGAGTCACTGTATGTCTCATCTGTCAGAAAGGATTTAAACACAGTTCCTACCGCCCCATTGAGTGGTAGAACTGACAGACATGTTCATCATTAAAATAACCACTTTGCTGGTAGGAACTGACATGAAAATGAGATGAAATCAGTGAACATGCCAAGCCTCTCAGCTTTTTCAGGACACTCATCGAGGCACCACACACCACAAGTTGATAAAGCTTACCAAAAGCTATCAATCAGTCACATCACCACTCACTAAAATTTAATACACTTGAGAGGGATTGTAGTTGCTGTTTGTTGGGTTACCTGGCCTTGGATATTTTAGAATATAAGCCTTTGTAGTTTATCATTTCCGGAGGCAAGTAAAGACATCCGATAAAAGTTTATGGCTTAAAGTCCATCACCAAGGCCGGTTTTACACAGGCTGCGTGCAAATGATCCCAGCGCGGCTTTCTTTTTTTTTTTTTCTTGTGGATGAGTTTATCAATAATAGAAGACTTCTCAGAAGAAGCTCTGTTGATCATCATAAGGAGTTACATTGGTTCATTTACTAAAACCAGCCCTTCTGTGTGTGCTGTTCAGTCCTAGGATTAACATCTAAGAAAAACTTCCTTTTTAAAGTTTGATGGTTTTAAAGGGTCTGTTTTTATAAATGACAACATTAAAATATTCTTCTATCCAAGAAGCAGATGTAATCATTTTCAGTGCTGCTGTGAATTAACTTAACCAAGATTTTGTCAGATTAATTCATTAATTATCACTGGTTAGGAAGGTTACTGAGATCCCTATGATCAGTTTTAATAATCCCAAGGAGTCGTCTGAGTACTGTCCAATCCACATGTTGTTCAGTGCTCAAGCATTGTGTCCACTGTATCTGATATCTTAATGTTTCAGACTCATAAAGACTCATTATGAGACTCATTGTTTTTCAGCTCCAGTCAACACAAAATACTCTACAATGACAAACACAGCAACTGACTTTTTAGCGTTTTATTAAATCTAAAGGACAGTTGTATCCTTTTCAGTTCACATCCTTCACTTTCACTTAGTGCCTGGCTAAAACACTTCAGGCATTTTTAAGAGTGAATCCTACACTTGTATTTTCAGGTCTTCAGAATTACTTTATGTCGTTCTACATTAATCTTTCCCTTTATGACTAGTCTCCTGGTCCATATTGTGGAAAAACATCCCTACGGTGTGGTGTTGCTGACACTGCGATGACTGTTGGGATAATAATGAAGTGATGCTCACACAAGCTTTTTGGAACTGTGGCCATCTGACTAAAGGATTTCACCTTTACTGTTGGAGACTTTTTTTAAGGGCTTTATGGGAAACTCCTCGTGGGCTGTGATACAGGGAGGATTGGCTTCCTACCATCCATAAAAAAGAACAAATATTTCAACAAAAGGAATGCTGGGATGCCTATCACATTGACGGTGATTCCTGGTTGGTCACCTGATGAAGACCCTTTGCCACAAAAAACTGTGTATAGCTGAGGAGCAGTACCAATGTTGGTAAACAATTCACTCGATCTCATGGCTCAGTTTTTCACTCTGACATACATAATGAGTTGTGAAACTTTATATAGTTATATCCCATTAATTCAGTGAGGCACAGGTGGACTCAGATCAAGCATCCCGTGGATCATTGTTAGGAAAGTGTGCAAAACAGTCCAAAAACAAAGATCTTTGCTTTGTCATTGTGGACTTTTGTTTGTAGGTTAATATGGAAAAAAATTAAGTATATACATTCCAAGGTCAATTTAGGATAAAATAAAATGTAAAACTTAAATTGAATGCAAATTGATTGAATTAGATGTGTGTGCATGTATCTGTGTGTGTGTGTCAGGTTTTATAACAGATATTTTAAAAAGTAAGAACAAAAGTGATGATCTGCAAAATAACAAAGAGGAGCTTCAATCCCTAGTGCTATAGATTTTTGTTATCGATATTGCTGAAGATATGGGGTGGAGCTGGAGAAATGCTTTACTTGCACAGTACAAAGAGAGAGGTTCAGCTGATTCAAAACTGTGTGTTTCTGCAGGGGCAGCAGCTAATGGACTTGGAACACAAGTTAACTGTGGCCAAGGAAGAACTGGAGAAGACTGCGCTGGATAAGGTGAATAACACAGGGGACGGGGTATCGCAGATGAGCGATGACAATCGAATGAATAAATTATGTGAAGTAATATTAGTCTGCATAAAGACCTTTTTTAAAGAGTGGATATCTAATGATGAAAGTAAGTGCAAAAGTTTAATAGCATGCTTGTCATAGCAATTTTCCCATCACAGTGTTGAGCTTCAACACATTGAACACATGCACCAGATTTATTTTGTGGGGGCATTATTATTATTATGGATGTGCTAAGTTGAATGAGTGAAAATTGCACGGGGAGAAAAGAGCTGATAAAGGTGATGCTGACATCAGTTAAGCCAATAGTTTGCCTGTCTATTATTATTGATGAAAAGCACATTCTTTTTAAATACACATTACTTCATATTGCTCTATTGACTTCTTAATCTTTACGTCTTGCCTAACGATGCCTTCTAGCTTTTCTGAAATCACTTTAAAGGATGTGAGCAAAATGGCTGTAATGCTTAAGTAAATTTCTCATGTGGATGGAAGGCAGTATGAGTGATTCAGAAACCGTCTTGTTTGTGTGTAATCTTGTTTGGGGACAGGAGTCTCAGATGAAGGCGTTGAAGGACACAGTTCACATCTGCTTCTCAGCCGTCCTGCACAACCAGCCCAGCAGCAGTCACAGATTTCCCACCTCCCCCACCCACTTGTTCAGATACTCATCGCTCATCAACAGCTCTAGAGTCACCTTTCAACAGCCACATGCCAAGGTAATTTAGAATTCAGTGCTGAGCTCCTTTATTTTATTTATTTAATGTTTTTCAAAAAGATGAACTAGATATTGTAAAATACAACTTAAGAGATAAACATCTAAAAATTAGAACAATACTACAGCACAAGTAATTGAGTTGTAATACCATCTATTAAAGTTGCAGATGGGCTATACTGATAATGTTTGCTGCCTAACTCCAACATTAACCTTGTGTTTTATTATTAGCCATAGTCACTAGCTGCTACTTTAATGATAACTTAACAGATGGCTAATAGTATTTAAATGGCTAACGTCAATGTGTGCACTGGTCAAGATTTATTATAACTGTTTAATACTTAAGCGATGCAAATCTTCTCAAAATTCTTCATTAACACCAGGATGTCAGTCGTTAAGATGCTTTGCCAGATTTGTTGTGCTACTCTTCATTTGTTCAGCTGATAGTGAGGGGAGGGGCAGTGTACAGGCACCTGCAGTGTGTCATGTAGAAGAGGTGAAGATTGCACCATTGCTGTCATACTGTTACAAATTAGTATCCTACACATTAACAATTTTTAATATCAATTGTGTGTAAGTATCAAATTTCTTGAAAATCCTACTCTGTACATATGCTAGTTCCAAGTTCAACAAGTTCCTTTACATTTGCAGATCTTTTTCCCCACTATTATCCATTATTATTATTATTATTATTATTATTATTATTATTATTATTATTATCCATCCTCATTGCTGGAATGATTAATAATGGTAACTTTCAGTATCCTACTTTTAATTTTTACTAGTGCATGTTTACTTTTCTTGATTTTAAACTCCCTCAAAAAACATTAAAACAGTCAAGAACACTATTACACTAAGAAACACTAATACCTAATTATGGGAACTTCATATATAAGAAATCTATATGAAAAATTACTGTATTTAATTGCTTGCATTTTACATAATATGGTGAGGAAACTTGCACTTACAAAAACTTTTTTTTTTCATATTTTCATTTTTTCTTTTTACAAAAGTATATTTTAAGCTTCCACTTCTACTATTATAATTCAACCAGAATCACGGTCTTCTAATGAGGTAATGGTGCTAGTAGTTTTTACACCTATAATCAAAAGAAATCCGAGCAACAACATTTGTAACATGGAGCCATGTTCTAATCATGGCTGATTGCATTGTTGGAACGATTTTTTCCCAAGGCAGCTTCATTCACAGTAGTCTTGAATGAATAATTCAGGCTGAATACAAAATGTAATTCTACGGCCCTTTCATGTTACCAGAAGCATGACCAATGGGCCTTTTTCACAGCTGACATTTTGACTTGCCATATCAGGAATGGCGCAGGTGTAATTAATACCATTAACAATGGCTGTGCTCCATTTAAGTACATCACCAGACTGTGTCAGCGAGACAGTATGCAAAATAATAGTGCCCTGCAACATGCCAAGCAAAGGAAAGTGCAATTGTTGTTTGGGTTTTGGGTTTTTTTCAGTCTTATTAGTTACATCAGTTGTTGCATGGGTTTCCTGTAGATATACACTGGGGAATATAATTATTTGATCCCCAGAATTTGGAAGTTTGCTCACTTTCGAGGAATTGAACAGTCCCTATTCTTATGGTAGTTTTATTTTAATAAAGAGAGAGAGATTATCAATCAGAAATCCAAGAAATAAAAACACTTTCCATAAGAGTTGCAAATTACAAATTTGCACTTCAGTGAGTAAAATAAGTATTTGATCCCCCACAACTCAGTCAGAATTCTGCCTCCCACAGATTGGCTATGTGCCCATCTGGCCTGCACAAGGCTGGAATGGGCTACCAGACCATCAGAAGAAGCTTGATAATAAGAGGACAACTGCTGGTGTGATTATTTAGAAATGGAATCAATTTAAAATGCCCTTTGTCTGAACGTCTCTGCAAGTCTTGCCTCATGGGGTGAAGATGATCGTGAGGAAGGTAGTGGGTCAGCTCAAAACTACATGCGAGGAGCTTGTTAACGATCTGAAGGCAGATAGTCCCTCACTACGCCATGATGGATTGCAGTGCCAGCAAGGTCCCCTGTTCAAGAAGGCCAGTCTGAAGTTTGCCAGTGAACATCTAAATGATTCAGAGAAGGCTTGGGAGAAAGTGCTATGGTCAAATGAAACCACAGTCAAGCTCTTTTGTATCCCACTGTGTTTGGAGGAACAAAAAAAGAAGCACATTTAGGTTGTGGAGTGGCCTAGCCAGTCACCAGACTGCCATCTTACAGAAAAACAGGAGATCAAATCAGTATTTTCCCCACTGTAATATGTCGATTAACAGTACAGTCCATGTAGTGTATCTGTATGTAATAAAAATGGCATAGACTTTGTCTTACAGTATGCAATCAGTTTGATTGTCAGTCCGAACACAAATATTACCGTTTCTTCAGAAAAGTAGGATAAAAATGAGATAAGTTTGCTTTGCAGAGCCAAAAGTAAAGTGGAAAGAAAGTTGGATTTGGGTTATGCTTCTGTAATGGTGCAGTATAATTTTCCCTCTGACTTTCCAGATAAGATAAAGCAGGCTGCAGTTTTTTGCCTCTTCCCTTTGTGTAAACACTTTCAAATTGAAATTCATTTCACACAGAAACTTAGTGACATCATGGAATATAACTCTGTGCCAAAATATTCACCTCACCGCACATCAGAGCACGCATAATGCACTGTCTGCAATATGAATTTAAGAGTTAGGCGATTATTACCTTCTTTTCAAGTGGCTATTTGTCAATCTGATGCCCCGAGTATCACTCTCTAGAGAGAAATAGCACAGGAAATAATTACTACCAAATATAACAGTTGGGCAAACACACTTCCAGAGGTTGTTCAGAATAATAACATGTCTAAATCAAGCGGCAGTCTAAATAGTTATGTCAGTCTTTGTATTCTGTTCTATAGATTTTGAAGAAAAACACTAATATTTTAGCGTTTTACTGGAGTTTTTTGGATGTTGGACTTGTTCTATAAGAAAATTATTAACTCAATGTGACACAGTCTTTGTTTGGAGCCTCTTAAAGTCAGGGTCACAGCAGACTCAACTAAGGGCTCAGGATTTAATCCTTTTCAGGAGTAAGACAAGGTGACTTCCAAGAGGATTCATTCTACAAGTAGGATTATGCTTTCAGTGAGGATATTGTGTCTTGTTTTCCTACTGAACCACATTTTAAGACTAATGACAAGTGTCAAATTGCAGTTGTATTTTGTTCTTTAAACATTCCTACAAGTATTTTTGTGGCTCTGTGCACAAGAAAAAACCCCAAAAGATATATAACTCGCATACAGCTGAATATACAGATCGCTTTTATTTCTTGAAAATATATTTTTTTATTACCCATGGCTGTTTTACCCCCTATCAAGCAGTCATGTCAACTTCAATCAGAGATTGTGCTAGTTCTGATTTCTGAAAAGCAGTCGCTGCAGTCACTTTGAAATCATCAAGTCGGCCACAGCGCCGCTGTGTCTTATCTGCCATGATACTGGTGAGCAATTCTGGCTTTAAGAGGCTTTTCTCTCCTCAAAGCAGTCACAATTTACTCTGTCTCTATCGTGGGTGCCTAAGAGATTTGACATGCCACTTAGAGGATTTTTTTTAATCATGCTTCAGTAATACCATCCATGCCAGTGCCATTGCAGTACCTTTGCTGTGGCGTCATATAAACCAAGATTCTATAATTGACACTTCCTGTTTACACCCTCCTTGGTCAAACCAAAAGGATCTCATCTGACTATGCATTTGCCCATATCTGCCTTTCAAACATACAGCCCAGTACATTCAAGTACAGGAGCAAAATCAGCATCATACAAAAGAAAAGACGAGTATAGGAATTTCAAGAAAGGTGTGGGTTGATTTTTTTATGCTAATGAAGTTTTTACTTCCCCCTTCATTAGCATACAAATAGCAGCACTTCACTCGTGAGCAGTTGCTGGCTTCATTATCTCCTGTTGCTGTTGTACACTTGATGGGCTGTCTGATAAATCTCAGCATGCCCTCACAGTGAAAATTACTGGGGTGCTCCATCTGTCCACTCCGCCTGTATATGTGGAGATGGGTCAGATTCCATTTAATTCAATGCCAAATTTAACTCATATTACGCAATAAGAAAAAACCACATACAGTAGCACTTACAGGGCATAAAAGAGCCAAATGTTCCACAGCTGTGGAGACAAATGTCGAGAACTTAGCTCTAAGAATAATTTAGCATTCCTCATTGTTGTATCTAACAGCATAAAATCACTTGGTTTGTGTAACTGTTATTTATTTTACCCCAGGTTCTTTTGTAGTTTTGAGGCATGTATAAGATTGTCTTATTGTAGCTTAGAAGTACAATACATAAAATAACTTATTCTAGAAGGGATCCCTGTTGTTTTGCAGCTGTTTCAAGTCTTTCATTTCCTCAACTTACTTTTAATCTTTTAATCCATGTAAAGCAGAAACATGTGTCACTCCAACAGACAATCTGTTATTAAACAACCAACCAAATTTGAATGAGTTTTCAAGATTCACTAAAAATGTAAAATAATAAAACAAAATTCATTCTCTCAAACTTTGGCGGCTTGTCAACTGAGGGCGGTAATTGACAGCTCTTACACCTGCTTGAGCTAAGTTTTTTTTTTTTTTAGCAGAACCACAAGAGAGCAAAATTATAATGTATCCTATATTCAAGATGTGGAATAATAACAGTTCTTACAACAAAAGCAGCCGTGAAACAAAACAAAACATCAGTGTGTACTCTGTGAGGCGAGATAGTCAGTTTTTACTGTTCACCAGAAGTAGGTGATTAGCTGTGAATCTTTGTAAAACTTCCTGGGGATGGTCACATTTACATGCTGGTGCTCTTTACCAATGAGGTTCTTCGCAATATCAATCCAGCACTTCTCCAGCTCTGCATTTTAAATAAGAAGAATACATTAAAAATAAAATAATAAAAATATTAAAAAGACCTGCTACACTATCAAGGTATAGGCATTAGTTACTATAGGCATATCCTACAGGAAACCAAGTGCTAATGCGCTTGAGTATTTAAACAGGTTTCTGTTATGGGACGGTCATTCTAGGGACGCCTGGCCGCAGATTGTGTGATTCTGACCCACTCATAAAGAAATCAAGTCTAATGAAAAGCAACTTAATTGTGTCAGGACCAACACATTAGTGTGATAAGTTTAAAAAAAGTTCCTTACAGCAGAGTACACTGACAGCATAATGGTGTACTGTTGATTAATTTAGGAATGTCTACAAAATAGATCTATCCTAAATACTTTAAATAGTGTATGTTTATTCCGTTAATTAAAGGAATGTGAATAGTTCTGAAAAATATACTATAGAGTATGCTGAATGCTATGGATAACCAATGACGGTATAACTTTATTAACATTATGTGAAAAATTACAAAAATTAGCACCAAAGAGATCACATATAATCACATATCACATATAAAGAGATCACATATATTCAAACGCTTGAATTTCATCAGCACATTTATACTAAAATCTGCTTTGTGTTGTGAAACCTAAAGTGCTTAAGTGCAGGGATGTTTGTTCAAGCACTCTGTGACACCACTTTGAGTGTCACGCTCATAGTTTGAGTTACCGTAATGGGCCTTAAGCTCTGTTAGACACCACAGATAAGACTCACTCAGACCCTGCCTGACACACACACAC